CCCCCCCCCCCCCCCCCCCCCCCCCCCCTCGCTCCTTTCGAGTAGACATTCATCGAGACATTTCCAAGTGTCTTATCCTGGTATGTAGGCAACGCGTTGCGCTAATTCGTGAGAAGTCACTGAGGATAGAAGGTGAATGAAACACCCCTGATCAGTTTGGTACATGAACCTCTAATCCGTTGTGGGCTGTGTCTTTACTATCAACTCTAACAGAGAGCATGAACTAGGCTTGTTTCGTCAGAGGAGTCTCATTTCGTGGTATCCAAGCCATCTTTACAATGATGTCGCTGTCATTGCGTCCACTAGTGAGCCCTTTGGCAGCTCGATATATCAAGGCCTACTGAAACGGCAAATTTCGTCTTTTTTCAAATTTCATGAAAGCACTTAAAAACGACCACCGTGCATACATTATGACCATTATGGCTTTCAGAGGGTAGGATGGGAAGATCCAAAATAGAAGATGAGCAAAAAAGTCACTGTGAAAGAATAAAAACTCGGTCAACTGCACAGACTGTCGACATTACGACTTCTACGGAATGATAGCATCAAAATCAGGAGAATAAAATTTATAAATGTAAGATTGGGTTCAATCAACTGAGAAAAAGTATAACTGCGAAAGAGCTATAAGCAGGCGAGTAACAGGAATGGCTAGCGCCAATTGCAATATCCAAAGAAAATCGACTCGTAGGTCAAGATCAATATCAATATTGATTTTCGTTGGGAATGTGTCTTTGCTGTTTTTTCTTTTCCTTTCTTGTAGTTAACGTCTCATGAAGCCATCGTTCTATGAAATTCCAACTCTCTCGCCACCTTTACTTACAAAACTTCTCATTACTATATGGAAAGAGGCAAAGAAGCTTTTAAATGCAAACAAATATAAGAAGCGATTTTTAGATTTTTAAATACATACATATATAAAAAGGGTTAGAGATTTAGCCTCCGATAGAATGACCTTCTGCGACTTGGTAAAGAATGTAAGGAAAGAGTCGAAAAAGTTGTTACTATTGAGGTACAGACTATGCCGTTGGCAAATTGTTGGTTTTGCATGGAGGACCGATTTTCAACAAGTAAATGGAAGTAGTAACCTTCCCAATTTTTTATCTTTCCAAAGGGTACGCTTGAACCCACCTTGATCTGCTACAATAGACATAGCAGTCTCATTTGGAAAAGCTAGGTATTCTCGCCCAATAGAGCTTCCCAACCATTTGAAACCGTGCACTCAAGGACAGATTATATGGGAGGATTTTTGAGATTCAAAACCGTCGAATATCAATTGTGAGATCACTTGGATAAATTGGTCAGATATGGGAGCCGAATTCGAGCCGTAGTCCAGCAAAATGTCCACTGGTTCAACCTTTCGTTTCTCAGCGGGCATTTCAACAGTATTTCAAGTTTTGCAAACTTCCTGTAAAGGCTGCTGAGGCTCTATTTAGGGGGGAGACGGTCAGTAGGAACGATTTTCTGTGATCGATTTGCCGCACGCGACTGTCGCGGAGCGTACGCTTCGCCATTGTTACAGCCCTACCGTTCTTCATACAGTTCAATCGATATGCGATATTTATTTTAGGCATGATTCCACTGTAGTTCCTTTGTTCCTGTATTTCTTACCTGCTGCTGCGTTATGTTTTTTTCCGCGCGGCGTCCCCCTCGCCGCGACGCGACAATTTCGTTCCTACTGCACCACAACCTAATTAGGGAGATAGTAAGGTATCGAGTTATAGGCGGACGTTGTAGTAAGGTATCGAGTTATAGGCGGACGTTGTCTCTTGACTGATGAAAACGACTTCACAGAATAGCACTTTATTGATTAAGCATAATATTTAAACAGAGTAACTGAGATCTTCTAAATATAACAAGTAGGATGCACAACTGTACACAGAAAGCAATCTTAACAAATCCTTAAAATACAGACTATAATCTGCCCATATACAAACGTGTTGTAACGGAAAGTCAACAAAAAATAATAACAGATAGCATAGCAGTATCGTTTAGGCCTACCAAATACTCTGATGTCCAAAATCCCTCCTATTCTTCCTATCCATAGGCGTATCCGGTGCGGCAATACGTCGGAGCTCAGGTGGCAGATCACCATGAAGTAAGCCGGCCACGGAATCCTTGATCGCTCCATGCGGTTCTTTACCAGGGCTCTGATGGGGTGTTATCTGCTGGGGCTGAAAGTGTTCAATTAACGATAGTAATCACATAAGCTCAATTTGAGTTCATGGCGGGTCGATACTGCTATCCACCAATGGCGCGCGTCTTACAATGCGCCTAGCTCGTTCGCCATTGGTGGCTAGACCCGTGGACACCAACTCGCAACTTTAAGTAAGTTCAGTCCCTCAGAGCCTTTCTCCACGCTACTTTTACTAGTTTTTTCTCTCCATCCTTTCTTCCACCACCCTAGCACTACTTTGAGAAAAGATTTTTCTCCGCCTAATTTCATGCTCATTGTATAGTATGTAGGTAGCAAAAGGCCCTTTAATTAGGTCTAACAGATTCAAATTCACAAGTCGAACTTCACCCTTCTCGAGAAAAGTCAGTGCAGTGTACTGACAGACGAAGGACCCTCCCATGAAAGCCAGTATGCGCCGGAACCATAGGGAAGAATGAAAACCATGGGAAAGAAAAACAGGCCTCAAAGGGAACTATACCTCGGCATTCTTCCTCGATCCATACTTCTCACTACGACTACCAGTTCCACTCTTATCATTGTGTTGGATCGGCTTCTTGCCTTCAAAAAATTCTGGGAACACCACAAAGTTCGTAGACTGCCATACTGAAATAACACTTCGTCGAACTTTACTTGTAAAAGACCTAGAAAAGCAGTAAAAAGAATGACAATTCAAAGACATATGTGAAAAAATGAAAAAAATCTTCATCAAAGCAACTACACAACTTACCAGGTTTTTTCAGACCATAGAATTTCGCCAAAAACTGTAGGAAAGCATCCGAAGGACGGTCAATAGCCACAGCACTTGCGGATGTGGATTCTTGCTGAAGAAATTATAATGAGGGAATCAATTTGAACTGAGCATCTTCTCATGTATTTACTTTCTGCTTTCCATGATCGCGCTGAGTTCAGTAAATTGACTATGGCTGATTTGAATCGGATGGTGGAGAATACTCATCAGGAGATGGAAGTTTTAGGTGCTCATTTCAAGAAAGATCATATTTTGCCGGTGAACTCTCCTCCATCTCCCAATCCCTTTCACCCTTCTCTTCTGTTGATTGTATTCACGGTGTACCCTTGCCACAGCCCTCCTTAACAGCTCGCTCTTTTTTGTAAAGATTAAAATACAACAGTTCGGGTGAAGGAAGGGTGGAAAGCTGAAGGAAAATTCGTGGTTTCCATGGTCAATAGTGATTTTCATACAGTAGAAGGACAAATGAATGATTCACAACAAGGACCAATAGCACTGAACGCAATGAGTGTCTGGGCGGGGCCCCTTCGACCATTGCGCACTTCCCATTGGCTCGGTTTTGCACGTGAACATTTATGGCACCGACGAGAAGCACGCAACGATGTGTGGAGCCCCGCCCACATGTTCGACGCGCTAAATTTTGTTGAACAGAACGAACCCTTAGCATATAATCAAAGAGCTGATGACCGTTTCCTCTACGCTGAACTGAGTCGTGAATGTAGAAATCTAGAATGCACAGCGGTTCTTCCTCGTATCGTTGTTGTGTTCCATCGAGAAGGTAGAGATGCTTGTTGCCGACTTTCAACATACCAATCACAATACTAGTATGTCTGCAACTTTTTTAAACTGCTGGATCAAGGGAACACAATGGAAAGGAATTCATGCCTGAACTGAGGAAACTTACGGCTTGATCGGGTGACGGTGCCACATCAGATAGATGAATTGTTCTTCAGGTTGGCTAAGTACCTTCTCATAGGTCGTCAAAATTCGCTTCAAACCTTGTGCCTGTAAAGAGGATCGACTTTTTTTGCGGCTTTTTTTCCCAAAACTGCTTACAAAAGATATGCAATGCTAGCATAATTCAATTGGTAGAAGTGTAGTTATCGGTTATCCGTTCTCACAGTTCTCAAGAACACCCAGAAGGGCCGAATGCTGAGGTTGCGGACTGCTACCGTGAGTAGATATAAGTAACACCCTTGCCAGGTTAACGCCTTCTTGCTGCTCCTACACTTAAATTCTGCGCCCCTCGACTTTCACGAGAGCTTTTTTTGCGCCGATCCTGGCAATTTTCCATAAACACTAAAATCTGGGGCTGTAAATTCTCAAAAAAAAACTGCAAATTTAAGTGTGAGGTTTTACACTTGTTTGAAGACAGCCAACCTGGTGAGGAAAGTCATCTATCTTCACTAGGTGGCCGTAGTTCAAGTAAAAGCAGGACCAGTTGGCAATTCAATCAAAATTACCATTCTCAACACTCAGAATTGAGATTTCAAGGGTGTCCATCAGGAAAGAAAAGAATGTTCCCATAAACACCTGGAATGGGCTTAGCCTCCCAAGGTTTTTGCCAGATGCCGTCGCTTGAGAATGCATGACTACCATCGACGCCCTTCATGAATGCTCAACTAAAACCACAACAAAGTGTCTACTACTATATTCGTGACAGTTGTAGATGGTTGAGGTGGAAGAGCCCTCACTGCATCGCTGTGAGAGCAGTAATTAATTGCCAATGCACCTACTTGAAATTTAAATTTGTTTGACTTGTAAGGGCTACATAACTGTTTGAAAATTCCGATCGATATTTATGTTTTTGCACTCTACCCTCCCGGCTAGATTTACTACAATCGGACGTCTCGAAGGAGGAATGAAAGCCTATTTCCCTCCGATTGGACCTGATTTTTGGACAACATAGAGAAAGCAGCCTACTGCCACTTCACACACATGAATTAAAAGATGTAGTCAAAAGGAATACTCCAGAATATGATTTTGGCACAGGTGGTATAGTGATAAGTGGCGCACTATCGCACACGCACGGTCACGGGTTCGAATCCCCGATTGTTATCCGCCTAGGCCAACCAAGCCTTCCATCCTTTCGGAGTTGATTTACTGGTAACGGACTCATCGGCCTTGCACCTGGGATGGCCACCGCAATAATTGTTTAGGCTACACACGCCGCCATTCATTACGCCGCTACAGTTCTGAATTGATGTAGAGTGCGGGGCGTATCCCAGAAATGCGATTGGTTTATGCCAATGACTTTGGAATGTACATCTTCTGTTTAGGAAAATGAAATGCAATGAAATGCAAAAAGAACTGAAACGGGTGAGAACATGAGCTGCCCCTAACTCTGCTGAGTGGCTGAAAAGAACTTTCGAAACTCTGACCCTGAGGAGGATGTTCAAAAACGAAAAAAAANAAAAAAAATGGGTGCAGCCAAAAACTCCGATTTCGTACCTCGGTAGATAGGTGTCCGAGTGTGTCTATTGCTTTCTGTACGGCCCAAAATTTCCTCGGATTGAAACGTACTAATTGTGCACGATCGAGACGTTGTATAGGCTCCGGAGAGAATATCTCGGAGAAATCGTAAGCGATTTCCATCTGAAACTAAAGAAAGTGCATAAAGAGGCTCTTATACACTCGAGAGTTACATCGAACGAAATAAAGTAGCGACCATTTATATCGAATACTTTCGAACACGTTTCACAGACTGGTACGGCTATCTCGCCAGAATAAAGAGAGACCAGAAAAAGTCCAGAAAATTGAAGTGGCTATCAGATAATGTAAGCAGTTTTTGATGGTCGTACTTGACGTTGCCGAAAGAAGAATCCGGAAAGTAATGAGTCTCTGAAAATGTTGTAGACATTGCAAATGAAGTCGAGGGCTTCAAGGTGGGAGGACGTTAACCAATTTTGGGAAGGAAGTATTAATCAGGAAAAGCTCTTCAAGAGAAGATCAGTGTAGTGACCCGTAGAACCGAATTAGTCTTCGTAACACCTACTAGTCTAGTAAAAATTGCTAGAAAAAACTAAACATGCTCTGATACGATGCATCAGTTGCCATCAGTGACGCCATTTACACATAGCCGTGACGCATGTGTACGCGTGCGCTGGTCGATACCAAGCGCGTTCTCCTCCACATGTATTACATTTAGAAATGTTCTGAGGCAAACATATGTATGGCTTCGCTTTCTCGCCTTTGGAATGACGCCATTATAACATTGATCGCATAATGTGTGACTGATCACTGACTATTTGGAAGACCGCTTTACATGTGAGTAGGCCACTTGTTTGAACACGAATCTAGGTAATCGCTTCGTCGCTTGTTACCCGTTTTTCTGCCGCTTCCTGTAGTTTCTCGTTCATCATAAACCTTCACCTATCAATAGTAAATCCCAGCATAAAAAAGAGTGCATGACGCACTTTCTGTATCGAAATGACGCAACACGCGGGGCATCGATCATCGCATGCGTGATTCATGCGATGCAGCGGAGCAGAGCCTCACTAATGGCAATAGCGACGTTATGGACTATAGAAGCAGCCAAATCGCCATACTAAAAAAAAGACAGATTTCACATTATTCGAGGTATTTTCAAGAATATCACGTCTAGAATGGATGAAGAAACTTAGTAAGACACGTGGGACCGATAACTTTACAGGTAAAATTGAACTACGTTTTCCTGGTCGGGTGTGGTGCGATTCACGCGCCAATATAATGAGGTCATCGTACAAATCGCACTAAAACATCATGCCTACCATCATAACGGAAGAAATAAGGACTTATAAGTAGAATCAGTAAAGAAATGACGAACTGGGCACGTTTTCAGAAGGATTGCATCTTCTAGGATCAAAGAATTTGAAGTTATTCTTATTTTGAACGTTTGACAAGTAAATTGTTGACCTGTGAGGTGAATTTTCAATCTCGAAGGGGCTTTTTTGCCATAGTAAAGNGATTTGCTCTACTCACGATGAAGCCGTGGACTACTGCAAATTTATTTGGTCCATCTCAACAGAAAGGTACTGAAACGATGCTGCGTGCGCGAAGAGTTCTAATGGGATCACGCGTGAATCGCGCGCCCCCCAAAAGGGACGGACCGACCCGTGTAACGTCCTCTGTGTACTTTTCATTCTTCCGTTGCACTACCGTGATCTCACGCTGCTTCCCTTTAGCCTTCATTGGGAACACTTGAACCTGGCAGAAAAACACATGAAAGCATCCAGATTACTGCGCGTAAAGCAAATATCGACTAAATGGCACATCACTCTGTTAAAGCAAGTGCTGGTAAAGTTAGTCACGACGAGTAATGAAGGCAGCATGAATCTGTGCAGTGCCGTAGAAAAGAAGGGTGCTTGGAAAGCACAAGAGATACTTTCGGGCTTTGTCAGCGATTGAACGATGTATGCATACGCCACCTACTGTAACGTCCGATCCTTTGACGGTGAAACACAGTAACTATCAACAAAAAGCAGGAACTAGCAAAATGATCACTGTGTAAAACTACGATCTAAAATAGGAGGAAGTGCGTGCATGTGAGGTAAGCAACAAAATATAACTAAAAACCACCTAATAAAGTCAATAAAATGTATCGATTGCAGCGAAGCACACGTCTCTCAGCATTACAACGGCAAACTTGACATTGTGGGTCCACATGGGTAAGTTTTGTCACAGCACATTACACTAGCTGAAGTTGATTGAGTTGAATACTCATGTTGAACTCTCAAAAGACACCCCGAGTCGCCCCAACGTCGTCGTGGATTAAAGGCCTTATAGACAGAGATGACATCAGAGAATAACTGATGTTCTCGTCGCGATTACTTTAACCCTTCCATTTATTTAGTAACAGAGATTGGCTTCAAGGGCGAGGATCAAAGGTTCAGAAAAGCCGGCCAATCACAGAAACCACGCCTACTTCACTGACCACGCCCCAAATTGGAAACGAATTCCAAGAGCTCATTAAAAGTTGTGCCTATTTCGCTCACAATCCTCCGTAAACTGAAAAAAGGTCAACATGGAAGATTGATTTCTATTCGATGGCATTGAAATTAACAGAAGTGCACACTAAAGACCTTCCAGACGAGTCCGAAAGTTCCCCAGACAAAAAGAACACAAATTTCAAGAGGTTTTCTTGAAGCTGTGCCTATACCGAACACGATTCCCCTCTAAATCGCCTTTGAGTTGTTGTAAACAGTTTTTTTTTNTTTTCAATCTCGAAGGGGCTTTTTTGCCATAGTAAAGAATTTGCCCTACTCACGATGAAGCCGTGGACTACTGCAAATTTCTTTGGTCCATCTCAACAGAAAGGTACTGAAACGATGCT